CAGGTCATGATCCTGGAGTCCCGGGATCGAGTCCCGCATCGGGCTCTCTGCTCGGCAGGGAGCCTGCTTCTCCCTCTGACCCTCCCCCCTCTCATATGCTGTCTCTCTCATTCTGTCTCAAATAAATAAATAAAATCTTTAAAAAAATAAAAAATAAATAAAAATAAGTAAAAAACCACTTCACTGTAATAAAGTGGTAACTATAAGCACTTAAATACAGCCTGTTACACAGCTATCTAATTGTAGGATTGAGGGAAGGCAAAACTCCTGTATTTGCTCTTGCACTGCAGAAAAGCAGGTCCCTATTCTACAAAACTTTTTTTTTTTTTAAAGATTTTATTTGACAGGGAGAAAGAGCGAGAGAGGTTCGAGAAGCAGACTTCCCGCTGAGCAGCAAAACGATTAAGTAATACAGCGACACCTGGCATTCAGGAAATACAGTATAGCCGGCTGCTGACTCTTCCCTGTTTAATGGGGTTTACTCCTCTCTCATAAGAATCTCACAAATCTGATCTCCTCATTCTAGAGGCTGAAAGCTAAGGCACGGTGACGATAAAATACAAAAGGGCATGGAAATAAGACCTGAGGATGGCCTGCCCTTTCTGAGGGCCTCACTGCCAACAGCTTCCCCGTGCCAGATTCCCAGAAGCCTTCCGGATTATATGTAACACACCCACTTGAAGAAAGCCGTCAGGCTCCCGATCAGAATCGTATTTACAGCCATGCTCATCTCACTTACATCCTTGCCCCCGTTCTTAGGCCCAAAACTAGTCTCAGCATCCATCCTGTTCAACAACAGAAGTTCCACAAGGAGCAACTACTCACATTTCTACAACCTTATCCATAGTTGTGCCTATTGGGATGACATTTGGATATACGTTCACAGGACAGATGTAGCTCAAGAAATCTTTAATCTAGAGGAAGGAAAATAAAATGGCTCAATTATCTCTATGCTGGAAAAATCTGGATGTTAGAGAAGCAACAAAAGGGAGGCAGGACAAAGAGCAGGAATTTCTTATGGTGGTGTTCTCAATACTAGCTGCACATGGGGATCACTGGGGGGACCTCTTAGGAAAAAGAAATACCCAACACTCAGGCCCACCCCCAAATCCCTTTGATACTGAGCTACAGCGGGGCCTGGGAATCAGGATATTTAAATGTTCTTCAGGTGATTCTGTTCCACAGCAAGGACTAGGAATTACTGATTAGTGGAATTCAAAGATTTTTTTTTTTAAGATTTTATTTATTTGACAGCGAGAGCGCACAAGTAGGGGGGAGGGGCACAGGGAGAGGGAGAAACAAGCCCCCTGCTGAGTAGGGAACCCACTGCTGGGCTTAATCCCAGAGCCCTGGGATCATGACCTGAGCCAAAGGCAGACACTTAACTGATTGAGCCACCCAGGCACCCCTTTATTTCTTTAAATGACATTAGTTTCCTTGTCTAAGGAAGTCACCCATAATTAACTAATTCCCCTCAAGTAAATTAGAATTAAGCTGAATATTTAATACACACAAGAAAACAAGGTCTTAGAATTGCATTTCTTCCTCCAACAAATAAAATAGGGAAATTGCATCTTCCACGATGCTTGATCTGTTCTAAATTTATTCTAATCTAGAGGACAACTGCATGCAAAAATTTCATGACTACCTTGATTTTATGCAAAGTTCAGAATGCTAAATAGGAACTCTGTCACTATTCCTCAAAACATCTCTACAATGTAGACAAGTTTCGGCTTTGTCACTTAATAGATCTTGGTGAGCATGTGACCTTGGTCAAGTTACCTGAAGTCTCTAAGTTATTAGATTCTTCATCTAAAAGTGTAAATGAGATAATGCATGTGAAGTGTTCAGCACCTGGCATATGTTTAACATTCAATGAAATTATTCATCACAAAGATGATAATGACAACACAAAGGATTTTATTCCCTTCTGCAAATGGGGAAACTGAGTTCTGAGTAATTATTAGAACCCAACTTTACCAAATCAAAAGAGGTAGGAACCCAGGAATTATCAGTAACTCCATATTAAAATAAAGTGGCTACCTTACTTAACACAGGAGAAAAAAGACGACCAATTCATTCTTCAGGTATTTTTCATAAACAAATTCTTTTGTATTTTCAGAGCAGGCATGCAAACAGAAACTATTATTTACCTGCCCACAACCTATATGATTTGCATAATTAATTCAAGGTTGAGGCTGGTAGAAATCTGAGGCTACTTCTACTTAGAAACGAAGTGGCCACAGGAGACAAGAGACACCTCCTACAGGGGCACCCTCTGTCCCTTGTACAAGCTGATCTCCTTACATCAGATGACTGCTTTAAAACAATTCATGAACACTGTCTATTCTCATTATCCGTAGGGGTTATGTTCCTTGAGATCACTGGGAATGGTGAATTAGCAAACAGTGAACCACTACTCCTAAGGGGAAGATAAGGTTCCTGTGAACCTCTGGTCACTGCATTCTTGTCAACCTATCATGCATCACTTTGTTTTACATGTGTTTGTGTTTAAAGACACCAATTCAGGGAGGCCTGGGTGGCTCAGTCGGTTAAGCGTCTGCCTTCGGCTCAGGTTACGATCCCAGGGTCCTGGGATACAGTCCCACATCTGGCTCTTTGCTCAGTG